TAAATAAAAAATAATTTAATAAAAAATTAATCTATTATTAGATATTAACAAAATATAATCTGAAAATAATAGAGGAGAATACATAAATTAAATTTAAAATTAGCTTAAACTACAAATAATTTATAAATATAAAAAATAATACAAATATTAATTTTTAATACAAAAAAGCATTTAAACATGTAAATAATAATAATATTTAGATTATTTTAATGAAAAGGAAGAAAATTAATTTTTTTTTATTCCTCCTAAAAATCCCAAATCGTAACCATCAAGTACAAAAAATATTGAAAGAAAAAAACAAATTGAATAAAATAAAAATAATTATAAAAAAAGAATAAAAAACGAAGCAAAATCAAATTCTAATATAAAATAAAGCTCCACTAGAGATACTTCAATTTAAAAAATTTAATAGGCAGATTTAATAAAAACATATCTTAAAACTTAAAAAATATTAAATTAGTATAAATAATAAAAATTAAATTGGTTTATTGAAAAAAATATATTTTTAGAGGAAATAAAATGTTTAAAAGAAAAAATTAAAATATATGAAAGTTAATAAGATTGATTTTTTTTTTTTTCCTCAATTATATTTCTTATGTTATAATTAGTATTTTAAAATTTTTTCTATTATTAAATAATATTATAATTTTTTAAAAGTTTTTGAATTTTATTTTTAAATATAATAAAATAAGTCACATTTTTAGATTATTTTTATATTTTGATATTATATTAAAATTAATTATATTATGATATTTTTTTATTAATGAATTTGTTAATTATTATATTACTTTAAATTAAAATTAAACTTTTTTTTAATAATTTAAAATATATAATTAATATATAATTAAAAAATAAGCAATTTAAATTTATTTAAAAATTAAATATTATTAATTAAAAAAATTAATTAATAACTATTATAATTTAATATAATAAATAAATAAACATTATATTTAATAAAATAATAATTAAGTATATATTAATAAGCATATAAAAACTAATTAATCAGTTAAAAAAATAAAATAAAAAAATATAAATGGTTTAAAATAAAATAAAAAAAATAATTAATGAATTCGGTTATGGTATAATATAAATAAACTAAATATATATATATATGAAAAAAAAGATTATGAATATAATAATGTCTAAAATTAAACGAAATTTTTTTTTGATATTTTTTAAAGTAGTAATTAAAAATATTTATTAAAGCAAAGAACTATTACAACTGGAAGACCTGATAATTAATTACCAAATAATAAAATTCAAACAAATAAATATACATGCTTAAATTTTATTCCAAAAAACTTATATTTATAGTTCACAAAGATATCCAATTTATATTTCTTGGTAAAAGAATTTTTTATTTTAAGTAATAAAATAAATAATATTTTTAGTTTATTGGTGTATTATAAATATTTCCTTAAATATCTATTTCTGATGGAATTCCTGTTATATTTTTGCCTTTAATAGTCATAATTTTAATTTCTTCTATGAAAGATTTTATTGAAGATTTAAAAAGAATAAAATAAGACAAAAATGAAAATGACTTAAAAATCGAGGTTTTTGATAAAGAAACAAATTAATTCAAACTTAAAAAATGGAAAGAATTATATTCTGGTCATATTATAAGAGTAGAAATAAAAATAAATAATATATATAAGATAATTATAAAATTATAATAAAAAATATATTAAAATATTAAATTGAATATATAATTATAAATTATTTTTTATTAAAAACAAAAAATTAATTAAAAATAATAAAAAGGTTTTTAATAATTAGTATTTTCCAGCTGATGCTGTTTTACTTTTTACATCAGAATAAAATGGTTTTTTTTTTTAAAAAAAAAGATTAATTAATAACATTAAAAAAAAGGCATTTGTTATGTAGAAACTAAAAATCTAGATGGAGAAACTAATTTAGATTTAAAATTTGTAGATTAGAGAATATAAAAATACATATAAAGTGAAAAATAATTAGGTAAAAAATTTATGAAATTAACATATGAACCTCCAAACCCATACATAAATCGTTTCAATGGAAATATGTATTCTAAAACAGATGATGTAATACCTTAAAGTATATAGAATATAGTATTAAGAGGTTGCTCGTTAAAAAATACAGAATATGCAATAGCAGTAGTAGCATATACAGGGTATTCATAAAAATATAAAATTATAATAATATAAAAAAAGTCATCATTCTAAAATAATGTATAATCTATTAAAATCAAATACAAAGAAAAGCTCTTTAGAAATAAAAATGGAAATCTAAATTATAAATATATTCGTAATTTAAATCATTGTATGTATGTTCTGTGCAGGTATGTATTTAATATGGTATTCTCAAAATATAGATTAGTTAAGCTATTTATTATATGAAATGGATGAAAAAAAAACTTATGAAAATGTTTTATTTATAAATTTTTTTTTGAGATTTGGAAATTGGTTACTTATATTTACGTAAAAAAAAAAATTAAAAAGAAAATAAAGAAAATTATATATAAATAAATATATATATATATATATTATATATTTATATATATAATTATTTATATATATATATATAAAGTAATTTTATACCTATTAGTCTTCTTGTAACATTGGAATTGGTTAAATTTATATAAGGAATATTTATGAACATTGACGAAAAAATGAATTCAGCATAAGTTCAAGCATCAAACCTTAATGAGATAATTAGGTTAAGTAAATTACATATTTTCTGATAAAACAGGTACTTTGACCAAAAACATAATGGAGTTTAAATAAATAGCAATATAAGATGTTATTTATGGTGAAGACAATCATATCCATAACTTCATTACAGACCAAGAAATAGCAGAGAAGTTTCCAAAAGTAGGACACGTGAATTTCGAGATAGGCAACTTATAAATATAGTTTAATAAGAATATGACTAAGAACACTGCAAAATAATGTTAATATTAAATATTAATTATATACATATATATTTATATATGTATTTATTTATATATTAATTTATTTGCAACATTTTAAATATTATTTAAAAAAGGAATGTTTTAATAATGTTAGCATGTTGTCATACTGTAATCGTTAATAATAAATTAAGAAGGAAGACTCAATTTATACTGCTTCTTCTCCTGATGAATATGCTATTATTAATTTTACGAAATTTGTAGGAGTAGAGTTTAGAAAATTAGACGATAATAATAATATTATAATTCAATATAAAAATAAAAAGATTATTCTTTAACTTCTTCATGTTTTTGAATTCGATTCTAACAGAAAAAGGTAATCTGTAATTGTTAAATATTTAAATGGGAAAGTAATAAAAAAAATTATTTTATTTTTCCTTAAAAACTTAATAAAAATTAGTACTTTCTTTATTGTAAAGGAGCAGATTCGGAAATTATAAATAGAAGAAGTTAAGAGACTGATTAATAAATGTTATAAAATTTAAATCAAAAACTTTCCTAATTCGGTGCTTAAGGCTTACGTACATTAATGTTAGCCGAAAAGGAAATAGACGAATAATATTATTTTAATTGGTTAAAGAAATATAACTAAGCTTAAAATTTCTTATTTGATAAAGATACAGATTTAGATTAATTATAAAGCGAGATGGAAAAGGATTTGAAAATTTTAGGTGCAACAGCGATTGAAGATAAACTTTAAAATGAAGTTCCTCAAACAATTGAGGCTTTGAAAAATTCTGGAATATAAATTTGGGTACTTACAGGTGATAAGATTGAAACTGCAATTAGTATTGCTCATTCATGTAAGTTATTAGATGATAGTTTAGAGAAAATAATTATTACAGTAGATACTGAAAAGAAGTTTAAGAGCTTTTGGAATAAAGCTTGATTTATTTAAAAGACGTTAATAAAAATACAGAATGTAATGGCAATAATTATTAAAATAATAATTTCGCTTTGATTATAAACGGTTCTTCTTTAATATATATTAATACTCCTCTTATTAAATACTTAGTTTTTTTTATATTTTTTAATTGATTTTTTTTTTTAATTTATATAAAAAAGGTTCTTTAGATTATTAAATATTGCAAATGTGTTTTATGTTGTAGAGTTTCACCTAAATAAAAACAAGAATTGGTAACAATGCTAAGAGAAAACGTAATTTATATATAATGCTAATATTTCTATAAGTTTATTATTTAAATACTAAAATCTACAACAAAAATTATAAAAAAAATATTATATTTAAAAAAAATAATAACACATATTTATATATATATATCTTTTAATTCTAGAATAAGTAAGCTATTACTTTAGCTATCGGAGATGGAGCAAATGATGTTAATATGATAATTGCAGCTCATGTAGGAGTCGGTATTTAAGGAATGGAAGGTTAATAAGCAGCTAGAGCAAGTGACTATTCAATATCTTAATTTAAAGATTTACAAAGACTTTTATTTTATCACGGAAGGGAATGTTATAGGAAAAACACATAATTAGTTTGTTATAATTTTTTTAAAAACATTTTACTTGTTATGCCTTAATTTTGGTTACAATAAAAAAAAAGATTTATTAAAATATATAATTATATAAATATTAAAGGTATGGATGGACAAGTTTGTTTAGTGGATAAACTTTATATAATTCATTTATTTATTAACTTTTTAATATATTTTTTTCTTCAGTTCCTATTATGGTTTTTGCTGTTTGGGATTATGAATATGAAGATTATGTTTTATAATAAAATAAAAGAAAAAATTATTATTTACAAGGAATTAAAAGTAAAAAATATATTTTTTAATTTGAAAAAAAAAAAATTAAAAAGATTAACTTTTTAATCCAAAAGTTTTTTGGATTTGGTTTGTTTCTGCGTGTGTTTAAGGCGGTATAATTTTTGTTATTTCTTTTTTTTCAATGGAAAGCAATTTCATTGATTAAGAAAATGGATATTAATAATGGTTTTGGGCTAGTGGTACTATGGTTTTTGGATTAGTAGTGGTAATTTCAAATTTAAAAGTATTAATAATTTCTAATAATCACTCTATTGGATCTATATTTTTTAATATTTTCTCATTATTAGCTTATTTGGCTACTTGGGGAATCGCAACTAATATGGAAACTACAGAATAAACTTAAATTACAGATTTATATAATACATTATAATAGTAAAAATAATAATATATTTTATACTTTTAATCTTTCGATATTAAATAAAAAAGAATGTTTAAAACTTTAAATTTTCATTTAGGAAATATTCTTGCAATTACAGTAACTTCATTTTTTGATTGGGCTATTTCTTTATATACAAGTATTAGTTTTTTTATATATATAAATAAATCATCTAATTTAAAATAAAAGAATGGTCATATGATGAAATATAAATAAATTAATAATAAAAAAGTTTAAAATAATCATTTAAGACTTAATCAGGACTTTGCTAAACTTACAAAATTTCAATTGGAAATTAAAAAGGATAATAAGAGTTTTAAACTTGTTATTTAAAAACTAATACTGGTTATGCGTTTAACCAAATTGATAAATATAAATAAATTACTTAGGAAGATTAAAAAATGTGTTGAATATTAATTTAAAGAATATATAGAAATAAATATATTATTAATATTTTTCGATAGTTTTTTTTTGTTTTAGTAAAAAATTAAATGGATAATTTTATATTAATTATATAAATATAAATTTACAATTTTAATCCATTATTTTATTTTTTTTTGGGGAAAAACAAAAAAATATATTTAAAAAAAGAAATTAAAAAATAAATAAAATGACCATCTAATTAGAATAAAATTAATAAATAGAAATTATATCTACATTATAAGATAGATAATAAATCATAAATCCAACAAAACTCCCATAAGTAACTATTTCTATAAATACTACATTCGAAAATTCACTAAAAAATGATAATGAATAAAATAAAACAGAAAATAATAAAAAATAAATGGCTATTGTTAAAAACGAATAAAAAAAAAGGGGAAGAAAACCAAGATCAGAATTATAAAAAGAATTAAAAATAGAAAAAGAAGAAAACCTTAATATATTAAATTAAGAAATTAAAAGAAAAACAAGATTATCTAATGGGATAAAAATATACCAATAAGAATTATATTAACCAACTTTTAAAAAATATAAGCAAAAACAAACCATTGAAGTAGAAAATAAAGAAAACTAATTATCAAAGAAAAGAGGAAGGTAACCAAAAACTTAAAATGAAAAAAATGATGAAAATAATAATTAAGAATAAATATAAAAAAATGATAACTAGAAAAATTTAGATTAATTGTGTATATAATAATAAGAAAAACCTATAGATATTAATACTAATTAAGAAACTAAAGAACCTAAATAAGAAAAGAAAATTAGAATTTAGTGAAAAAAATAATATAATAATAGAAATTATATTTTATATATAAATAATATTATATTCCTATATATATATATATATGTATAATTATTATATGTTTTTATATTGACTTTATTTTTAATAATTTTGAATTATATTTATTTTCTTATTTTATTAAAATAATAGTATTTTTTAATATAATAAAAAATATAAAACTATTTATTCCTTTTTTTTAAAAATAAAAATAAAAAAAATATGCATTTTATGTAATATATTTATTTTAAATATATATATACTAAAAATAATAATAATAATAATTATAATAGTTTTATTTATTAAAATATTTAATTATTTTTTTTCATTTCTTTTTATTATTCATATTTTCTAAATTTTATGTATTATCTATTTAGTCTTCTTTATCTTATGTATTATTATTTTTTTTTATTTTCTCAATGTTATCTTATTAATTATTTTATATATTTTTTTGTTAACTTTAATTACTAATCTATTATCCCGAATTTTGTTATTTATCTTAATCTTATTCTTTATTGATTTAAGTCTTCTCTTTATTAATCAAATTTTTATCGCTATTAATTTAATTTGATTCCTTATTAACTTAAGTCTAATCTCTATTAACTTAATTCTATTATTTATTAATTAAAGTTTAGTCTTTATTAACTTATTATAAACTTTAAGTTAAATCCTTATTATTTTATATAAAATCTTTATTATTTAAATCTTTATCATCTTATTATTCCTTTAATATTTTATTATTTAAACTCACGTTTATATTATTTTATATTTAATCATTATAATAACTGCTTCTTCTATAAGTTTAATTTTTTTAATTATTTAACATTTATCCACTATTCTTTTCATTTTAAACATAATTTTATTTATTTTCTAAATCTTCTTAATTTACTATAATATCATCTTTAAATTAATCTAAATTTAAATTCGATACATTTTTAATTTTATTATCTTAATTAATTCCTTAATTATTTTATTTTTGTAAAGGAAGTCCTTAATTATTTTATAAAGGAGTTTATATAGGATTTTATATAGGTTATTTATAACTTTAATTTTATTTTAAAGCATAAAAATTAACTGTATTATTATTATTATTATTAAGTTCATCAATTTAAAAAATATCATGTTCTAATACAATATCAAGTATTCCCCTTAATAAATAATTATCTAAAGCTTTCTCTAATTAAATCCCTTCCATTTCCTACTAAACTTAATCATACATATGTTAAGCTAAAGGTAAAGCTAATTAATTTATTAATTTCAATATAGTACCATCTATAATTTATTCAATAGCAACTTCTTAAATAGTTTCCAAAAGTACTTCCTTAGCCGCTTTAGCTAGAAAAGTATCTTTTATTTTTCTTGTTATATGAATATCTTTTATGTATTCTTATGTAGTTTCTTCTATACTTTCATTTGCAACTTCTTGACAATCTTTTTTTATTGTATTTATTATTATATCCTTTACAACTAAAACTAAAGGGTCTCTCTCTACTTCCGTTTTTTATTAATATTTTTGTCTAATAATTCTGATGTTTAATTAAATTATTATAATAACTAAAAAAAACAAATAATAAAAAAATACTATGTAACTATATTATCAGTTTATTCCTTTACTACTTATTTAGACTACTCTTTAACTACTCTATTAATAATTTTATCCATAATTTCTAATAAAGCCCTGTATTCGGTTGAATACAAATGTACATCTTCATTATATTTATTATAAGTGAGAATTTCTAATATAATATCAGGAACAATTTTATCCTTTTTATATTATAAAAAAAGTAAAAAAAATAAAATTACTTATATATAATTATTAATGAGTTTTTATGAATATAAAAATAAAATTTTATTATTCGCTTTTTTTTTTGGAATTTTAAATTTACGAGTATGATAACCTTTCATTAAAGCTTATAATTTAATAAGTCTTTTAAGCCTAAGTTTAGGTAATGTATAAGCTTTAAATTCATTTACAAATTATTCTGCACTTTTTTTATTTTATTGTTTTTTTTATTTTACATATTAATCTTCATTATTATTATAAATTTATGAATTTCTAAATATACCATCATTTAAATTATTTTAAAAATATTATTATTATAATTATTATTATTATTATTATTATTATTATTATTATTATTATTAATAGTTTGTATTAAATATGTTTTAATCATTGTAATATGGTTGTTGCTTTATGTATTGTTTGATTTATTAATTCTGCTTTTGTTGGATTTTAATATTGTTATTGTGTAGGTTAGTATTTGTATTGATACGGATATTGATATTGATACGGATATTGATAAGGTATTTATATTGGGACAGGAATGTATTATACCTGGGGACTTTGATAGTAAGGAATTATTGAATTATTATAATCATATGGATGCATATTAGAATGCTATTAATGTTGATATTAATTATGTTAATTTTAATTATTAGGATATTTATTAGGAGTTTACAAAGGTGTTTGATTTGAATTTTACTTATCTTTTTACATGTATTTTATATATCTAGATAACTAAATTAATTTAATTTTTTAATATATTATTTTATATATATGTTATATATTTTAGGTTATTAATTTTTTTTATTTTTTTATTTTTTAAAAATAAATTTAAATTTATATTTTACAAATATACAAATATATAAAAAAAAATATTATTTCAAATTTAAAAAAATAAAATTATTAATAATTATTCAATAAATAAAACAAATTATATTTTTTTTTAAGCAAAATACATTTTTTTTTACCCCTTAAATAAAAAAATATAACAAATTTTTTAAATATCATTTATTTTCTATAAAAAGGAAAAAAAAAAAAAAATCTTTTATAAAAAATAAAAACATATAAATGTCTGAAATGCAATAAGGCCAAGATTTAAACACATAGACTAACGGAGATTAATATAACATATAAACTACATTAGTTTAATAATAAGAAATCTTAAAGCCTATTGAATAAACAACATTATCAACAGATAATTTTTAATTTACAATTGATTTTAATGCTATAGATGAATTATTAAAAAGAAGCTAATAATTAAGTAAAAAAATAAAAATAAAAATAAAAATATAAAAATAAATAAAAAAGCCTAATAATATACTTATTCTTCTACATATGAAACTACATTACCAGAAACATAACCGATATAAACTCCTATATAACCATCATAAACATAAACATCAACATAATACTAAGAATACTCATATAATACTTATATACCATAAAATTATGATTTCTAAACAAAATTTCAAGATTATTATTAACCATATTAAACACTTTACAATAATGATGGTTCTTTTAAAACAATGAATAATTAATATGAGATTAGTTAACCAAAAACTGAAGAAATTTATAATTAAATTGAAAAAAACGTGGAAATTCGTTAACAAGACATTTAAAAAGAAGAAGAAATTTAAAAAGAAGAAATTTAAAAAGAAGAAGAAATTTAAAAAGAAGAAGAAATTTAAAAAGAAGAAGAAATTTAAAAAGAAGAAGAAATTTAAAAAGAAGAAGTTGAAAAAAAAGATGAAATTTAAAAAAAAGAAGATGAAAAAAAAGAAGAAACTTAATAATAAGAAGAAATTTAAAAATAAAGAGAAATTCAAATAGAAGAAATTTAAAAATAAGGAGAAAATTAAAAATAAGTAATTTAAATAGAAGATATTTAAAAAGAAGTAATTTAAATAGAAGATATTTTAAAATAAGGAGAAATTTAAATTAAAGATATTTTAAAAAAAGGAGAAATCTAAATAGAAGATATTTAATAAAAAACAGAAATTCAAAAAGATGAATCTTAAGTAGAAGAAAGTTAATTAGAAGAAAGTTAAATAGAAGAAAGTTAAATAGAAGAAATTTAAAAAGAAGAAATTTAAAAAGAAGAAAATTAAGAAGTAGAAAATTAAAAAAAAGAAATTCTAAATAAAGAAGAAATTAAAAAAAAAGAAATTCTGAATGAAGAAGAAATTTAAATAGAATAATAACTAAAAGAAAATATAAAAAAAGCTTATAAAGAAAACTAAAACAAAAGTGAAAAAAATATGGAAACATAAGAAAATGAAAAATAGACAGAAACATAAGAAAATGAAATCGAAAATAAGACAGAAACATAAGAAAATGAAAATAATATGGAAAAAATAGACTAATTCGTATAAAAAAAAATGGCAGCTTTACTCTAATAATAAAACTTTTTTGAAGTAATTCATACAGATAATAATAAAAGCGCTTTTTTTTAAGTATGTAATTAAGAAATACCTAATAATAGTAATACAAATAATAATAATTTTGTAACTTAAGAAAATGCTTAATTATTTAATAGTTAATGTATATTTAATTTTAGTAATATTAATAATGAAGTAAATAAATTAAATTCTGAAAACAATAATCTAAATAGTAAATAAAAAAAATATTATTATATATAAAAAATATTTATATATTTAATATATATATATATATATATATATTTATATATTTATATATATATATTTAATAAAATAATTTAGATTAATTCTTAAGTATTATTTAGAATAAAATAAAAGATATGATAAATCTTATATAATTAATAGAAAGCGAAAATTAATAAAATAAAAAAGAAAGCTTAAACTTACTTTCAGAATTCAAATAAGAACTTAAAAATAGATTCGTGAAACTATACAAAGAAGAAATTTAAAAAATAAACGAAAAAAATGTAAGCTAATCCAATTTGTTAAAGTAATAATTAGAATTCGAATAATAAGATAAATTATTATTAAAAAAATAATAAGAATAAGAAATATAAATAGAATAATAGAAAACACTCGCAATGTAATAATAAATAGATACTTAAAGAGAAATAATCATGTAATTATAAGAAAGTAATTCTTAATTAAAAAGTTAAATTGCAAGTTTTAATACTGGAGAGGAAAGTAATTAATTAAAAAACTAAAATTAATAGTTAAGATATGATAAGGAATTATTATAAGAAGAAAAAAATAGTCTTTTGAAAATTATTTTTGAAAAAAATAATTAAATTTCTGAAGTACTAAATATTATAATTTTTTTTTTTTTAAATAAAATAAATTTATAGAAAGACAAAGAGCTTGATGAATAAAAAAATAATCCTATTTTATAATTAAAAATAAAAGAATTAGAAAAAAAAATACTTTAATTAAATGATGATATGGAAAGTAATGATTTAAAAAAACAACAACAATTCTAAATCTTAGTATTAAAAAACTAAAAGGAAGAATTACAAAAATCTCTCAAAAACATAAACTAATCTGCATATCATAATTAAAAAATAGTAGATAACTAATAAACTGAAATAAATACACTTAAAATGTAAAATATGATTTTAAAAAAACAAAAAGAAGAACTTTAAAAATCTTATATGAGTGTAAATTCGAATTTTAGATTGAAATAAGAAGAACAAAATGAACTAAAAAACTAATTAAAAGCTTTGAATTTTTAAATAACAGTATTAAAAAACAAAAGGAAGAAATTAGGAAATCTCATGTTAATTTAAATTAAAATTTAACACATTAAGAAGATGAATTTGAAAAAAAACTAGAAACATAAATAAAGAGTTTGAGCTTATAAAATAACGTTTTAAAAAAAGAAAAAGAGGAATTATAAAAATCAAGTAAAAAATTAAATGATAAAATTACAGACATAGGAAATTAAATTAATGATTTAAGAGATTAATTAGAAAGAAAAAATCAAGAAGAATAATATGATGATTAAAACTTGAAGATAGTTAATAAGTAGATGAAAAAGTTAAAAGAGCTGTAGTAGGAAGAAGAGATTTAATTTAATTAGAATTCGAATCTTAATAAGATGATGATGATAAAAATAAAGAAAAACAAATATAAGCTAAAGTATCTTAATTAGAAAATGTATATTTATATATAAATATATATTAATAAATTTATTTATATATATATTTATAATTTAAAATATTAAAATTAATAATTTATTTTAAAAACAGTAAGTTCATTAATTAGTAAAATAATAAAAAGATAATTTTTTATAAAATTAAAAATTAATAACTGAAAAAAATACTTCATTAAAATAAAATGGCTAAAATTTATCAGATTCTAAAAAAAAAGAATAATAACAAGACATTAAAGATTTATAAAATAAATTAAATGAATGTTAAAAAAAATTAAAAGAAGAAAGAAACCTATATGGAATATAACAAGAAGAAAATATTAAACTTTAAAAATAATTAGAAACTTATAAATATTAATATGATCAATCTAAATAAAGCACAAATAATAATAATTAAAAGACTAAGTATTTAGAAACTGGGGAAAATTTGAAAATCAAAGAATAAGAAAATTTAATAATTTAATTAAAAGAGGAAAATGCTAATATTCGATAATAATAAAAAATTAAATATGAAAATTAAATATCGAATTTGAATAATTTAATTAAAGATTATGAATAAAAAAATATTTAATTATAATAAATTAAAGAATAATTTACGGCCTATAAAAAATAAAAAGAAGAAGAAAAATAGGAATAAAGTAAGAAATAATAATAAAATAAATAAGGTAGTTAAAGTTAATAGGATTAAAATAAATACTAAAAGTTTATAGATTAAAAAGGTGAATAATTAGATAAAAAAGATGAAGAAATAAAAAAGCTTAAAAAATAATTGAATTCTACATAATAAAATCTAAAGAAATTTTTAAATTACTATAATATTGGTAATAATAATCTAGAAAATGATATTGATGATATTATTAAAAATAAAAGAAAAAAAAAAAATTAAAAAATAAAACCTCTAAATGAAATTGATTCAATTATTGTATTGGCTAAATAGATTGGCTTATTAAATAAAATTTGAAAAATTGATATAAATTAAAAATTTTATTATGTAATTTTTTATTCTATAAAATTAAAATAATGATAAAATTATATTATATTTATTTAAATAAATAAAAATATTGTTATAATTTATAATTTAAATATAAAAAAATTTAAAAATGTAAAATAAATAATAATAAAAAAAAATTATAAAATATTGTTAAAAATAAAATATTTAAATTTTTCATTATAAAATTAAATAAATCAATAAAATAAATATAAAAAAATTGACTATAATAACTTAAGAAATAATAAAATAAATAATAAAAATAAAAATAATAGCAAAAATAAAATAAATAGTAAAAATAAAAAAAAAATAATAGTTAAAGTAATTATAATAATAATAATAATAAATATAATAATAATAATAATAATAATAATATAATAATATATATTTATATGCTTATTGTTTTTTGATATTTAGAAAATTTATATAAATGTGAGAAGAAAATATAACTTTTAAATTATTAATTCTATTTAAATATAATAATTATTTTAAAAAAAATATATTATTAAATATTTATACAATATAATATAATATAATATAATTTATATATATTTTTACATATTCTTATTTATTGATTACTAGTTATTTATATATTTTTTTATTATTATATTAGAATATATATTTTTATTATATTTTTAATAATAATTTTATTTTATATAATACAATTTTTTTTATTTATTATATTTTTTTCTAATATATGATTCTATTCTAAAAAAAATATTTATCATATTTTTTATATAATAAATAGTATTTTATATATTTTTTTTTATATTTATTATAATAAATAAAAAAAACTAAATTATTTTTTCATTTATTACACAAAAAGTTATATTATAAAATTTTTTTATTTTTATAGAAATATATTAAATATTTAATATAATTTATAATATCTATTTTTTTTATTTATATTAATTATATTTTTTTATTTTTTTTTTATCTATTATAAATTTTATAAAAAAAATTATATTTTTATTTACTAAAAAAAATTATTTAAAAAATTTTATATTAAAAAGAATTATTTTAATTAAATAATTTTAACATTTACAAATATTTTATAAGTAGCGCTATAATAAAAATAATAATAGTGAATATTTATATATTATTTTTTATAATTAAAATAAATTATTTATTCAATCAAATATTTTATTTCTTATTAAATACTTTGTTAATTAATATTTTTCTTTTTTATTATAAAAAATAAATATATTTTTTATTTTAATTTAATTTTAATATAATAAATAATCTTTTAATTTAATTA